GGATAACTAGCATTAAATCAGCAAGCAAAGGAAGCATTCAAATCAGCATCGATGCTGTAACAAAATTAGATTCCTGCACTGTATGACAGGTAATATTATTATTCAAGTCCTCGGGTTGTGCAGATTTTACATTTGGTAAAATCACGGCTCCCGGTGGAGGATAGGGCCATAACGGGATCTTTTTTTTCAACTGGGAACACAGTGTTCCCTCGATACAAGTATATTGCCAGCTTTTGTCCCAGCCAATTTCCGCTTTTTTAAATGGGGGGGGGGGGGGTTAGTGTTATGAAGAGTTTATCATTTCTGGTTTGTCACATATAAAATAAAATGTAATTAGATAAACGGTTTTATTTTACACTCACACATAACCATAAATACTGTATAGAATTCTCAAATTTCACTGATTAACTGTTGAATTTTAACAAAACATTTGTCAATGTCAGTTATTCTGTTGATCTCTGGTATTCTAAAAATATCACATTTTCACTGCCCCTTTGCTTCACTGACAAAGGGTATGTGTGGTCGTATTTATCTTTATCCAGAGTCCGACTCACGCTCTTTGACAGTTCTAAATGTGTCTCATCTCTCTTCATCAGTCATTGCTTCCGTAGGCTGAATAGTTCACTCTCTTTTCGCGAACTGTTGCACTGTTAGACGCAAGTAATCGACAGTGTCAATGTCATCCTTAACTCCCTGTATTAGTTCTTGCTTCTCGGCCTCTTTGTCATTTGTGTCACCAGATTTTCAGTCATGATTTCGATGAAACTGCAATATTTCGAACAATCAGTAGAGAATACTCAATGTTTTTTTGATGAATATGGAATTTATTTCACGAATGGGACAAGATTTTCTGATATTTTCACGATTGCGAAGCACGAGTGAAAATATAAAAAAAATATGGCATGTCAAACTTTGCAATATTCGATCTTTTCCATTTGTATTGTAAAATTTTTATTTGTATTCCATAATTTTCTATTTGTATTGTATAATTTTTCATTTGTTTTGAATAATTTTTATTTGTATTCTATAATTTTCCATTTGCATTGTATAATTTTCCATTTGTATTGTATAATTTTTATTTAAATTTCAAATTTTTCATTTGTATTCTATAATTTTCCATTGCATTGTATAATTTCTTATTTGTATGCGATAATTTTTCATTTGTATTGTATCCGCAGATTGTTCATTTGTTTCGTTACGAAGGATTTCATTGGTCAAGTTTCGGGTTGAAAACGCGCGAGATGTTCTGGGTGTTTAAAGCAAACTGGGCTCATATGAATTTTTGTTAGAGGACGGTCATTCTAAAAAGGAAGCGCTGATAGATGGCAAATAAATAATCTGTCCTTAGAAATGCTTACTGGGAAAATATATAAATTGACCCTGAATGGTGGTACTTATATATACACCCCCCCCCCCTCCCCCAAGAAACTGAGTTCTATGGGTTTGGGCAGATTTTCTTCTTTTCCTTTTTTTCCTTGTCCCTGTTCATACTGGAAGTAAATATTCTCTCCTGCGAGAGAAAGAAAATAATCGGATTCGCCAAAATTTGCCCCCCCCCCAGAATGAAATGGTCCTCCCTTAGCATGCACGCAAAAAGAGGAGCCCAGTGTTTGTAGAGAGTGCGCGACGAACGGAATTGTGGGAAGGGTACCAGACTAAGTTTGTATTGGGCACTTGAAATATCTCGCTCGTTTTGAACACTTTATACAGACTAATGACCAATGAAATCCTTAACGAAAATCGAAATCCGTAACGAAATAAAGAAACAATTCTCGGAAAAATTATCCCATACAATTAAGAAAATATACAATGAAAATGGAAAATATAGAATACAAAATTTTTTTTACAATACAAATGGAAAATATTGAATACAAATAAATATTAAACAATCCAAACGGAAAATTATAGAATCCAAATGGAAAATTATACAATACAAATAAAAATTATACAATACAAATGCAAAATTACACAGTACAGATAGAAAAGCTCGAATATTGCAACATTTGACTTGCCATAAAAAATCCTGTCTCACGAGTGAAGTAAATTCCATATTCATCTACAAACATTGAATTTTCTGTTTATTACATTTTCTTAGATTTTTCCTTTGCTTCTGTCTTTTGGTAACACAGTGTCATAGGCTGTGACGTCATAGTTGAGCGGTTGAGACGCCATAGCTATAAGCCATTGCGAGATTGAAAAACGTCGTAAACATGGATTTTTAACGACACATTTGGAAAAACTTTGGAAGTATAACTATTAGTCTCTGTCAGGATGGCTCATTAACTCTATATTATAACAGGGCAGGATTTAAAAAAAAAAAAAAACAAAAAAAAAAAAAAAAAAAAAAACACTCGTCGTGAAGGGAAGGAAAAGTTATGGCGCACTTCTGATATTCTCACACTGTGAGAAAACCATTTTGATTCCCTTTCACATTGTGTCAGAATATCACTTTTATTCGAGTATTTCACTGTTGAAAATGTAATAAATGATAGTATCTAAAGAGACAACATCCAAAGCATGTTACGAGAGGCATTTGAAAAAATATGAGAATGGTTTGAGAAAATATAAACCATTTAACAGCAGTTAATGAGTTTGATTATTAAAAAGAGCAGGAAGAGAATGTACTCATTGTGACGTTTCTTCGTAATATTGCTTATCCCTCAGCCCCCTTACTACTCACTCCTTCACTTTCGGTAAAACCCCCTGATCGAAAACGAAGCGATTATAACGTCGTATTTTAAAAAGAATATTCAAATCTACAATCAAATATCAAAAAGTTATAATAGTCAAGTTTAACAATGCAACAACACATAGAATAGTTATAGAAAATCTATAATGTAAAATCACTAAGCACCTTTTCCTTTATGCACGGTTACATCGATATATCTTACACAGGCGTCAACATGTCACGCTCATTTTCATTTGTCAGTTATCTTTATGAAAGTGTACGTCAAAGGTTTAAGTTAACACGTTGCTAAAAAGACATTATTTTCCGTCTAAATTTGTCTTTGTGCATACTGGAAGAAAAGGAACTACACACCGTGAAAAGATTGGGTTTTTTTTCTAAATTCAGTGATGGAACAGAGACGTCAAAACAGAATAATACATTTGGGGAAGACAATTTGATTGTAAAGGGAGGAGGGCTGGCTTTTTTTCCGCATCAAATTATTTATTTTTATGTTGGTGAACGACAGATTATTTATTTCCAAGATGATTAGTGACCGATTTTTAAAAATTTTCTACTAATTTAAAAGCGAAAAAAAGTGTGACCCCCTAAAAGAAAGAAAGATAGATTTATTTATGTTGTTTTACGTTTCATTCGAGAATTTTTCACTCATATACAGATGTCACCATACACCAGTGGGTTTCAAATTTAGACTTTTACTTATTGAGCAGTGAGGGATCTTTCAACGCCTGCCGAGGACCCGGAACTTTCACTTCAAAGTGCGGAACCCTTTTCAGAGCTCCAGATAATTTTTTACCTCAAAGTGTATTTACTCCCTGATTTTCAAATCAATGCAGATTTTGCTTTTCAGCAAAATAATCAAAAAGTATTTTGTTAATCTATTGCTCTTTTGACATGACATCCAATGTGATTTTCAGCTTGTTATCGAAATAAGCGTTTTTGAAAGAGGAATGTAAAAAAGGACAGTTTCTGCATTTATCAATTAGGTAAATGAAATATATTAAGTTTTGCTATATAAATTGTTAGCATCGATCGAGGTAAAAGTTTTAGAGTTACTCCCCGTTTGCATTAAAAGTTGCGTGGCGCTATTTATAGCAAAGGAGCCATGTGGAAAGCAAAAAAAGGATTTATTTTCAATTAATAAAGGTTGTCGGCTATGGTGGCATATTTCTGCCCCTTGTGTGCAAGTTATTTTTCTATCAAATATGTTGACATGCAAGATAGTTATGTCAACATGCAACATAAATATGTTGACATGCAAGAAAATTGCAATCAAATAAAAATTATAACAAATCTTCAAAAATCTCAAATATCGCCCACATGTGACATCCAACATGCTAGATGCTACTTATTTATGTTAACATGCAACTTATTTATGTTAACATACAAGATAAATATGTTGACATGCAACATATTTATGTCGACATGCAACTTATTTATGTTGACATGCGACTTATTTATGCTGACATGCAACTTAGTTATGTCGACATGCGAGATAAATATGTTGACATGCAACTTATTTATGTCGACATGCAACTTATTTATGTTTACATGCAACTTATTTATGTTGACATGCAACTTAGTTATGTTGACATGCGAGATAAATATGTTGACATGCAACATATTTATGTCGACATGCAACATATTTATGTCGACATGCAACTCGGTTATGTTGACATGCAAGATGAATGTGTTGACATGCAACTTATTTATGTAAACATGCAACATATTTATGTCGACATGCAACTTATTTATGATGGCATGCTGTTTGTTTGAAAGAGGGTATATTTTAATCAAAATCTGTGGTTGCAGTGAATGAAAAGCTTAACCTCTGAACGTTCATCTGGTCTCTACACAACTGACAAGGTAAAACTTTGTTTTAGATCTGATATAAAACTGATATTGGATGTAATGAAGATCTTTTGGTTGATTAATCTGGTCTTTTGTATAATCCTTAAGGAGAATAATTCTTGGTGTCAATATCTCTTTTGGTCAGAGTGTGCAATTCTTAAATAATATGTGTTCTTCATGTAGCTATTATTTGATCAAACATAGTACTTTTAGTACTTCACTATCTTCAGTGGCGGATCCAGGAATCTTGAAAAGGGGGGCCCCGACCAGTTTGTGGTCGGGGTAGGGGCCCATGATCACACCAAAAAAATTGATTTATTAAATCTTATGTATATTTCGGACACAAAAGGGGAGCCCGGGCCCCCTGCCCCCTCTAAATCCGCAGTGCTATCTTACATAAGTTTAATTGAATTGCAAATTTTTTATATAATAAACTCTTACATGCCAAATCATGGTGTATTTATAGAATGATTTAGTTTGATATACATTTACACATGTAGAAAGCAAAACAAAAATTCATTGTGTATAAAGTATTTTTCCCATTTTTTTCAGCGACAAAAATACTATGAGTGAAAATATCTATACACCTGCTCTGGCTCAACGCTTGGTTGTGGACGGACTATCTCTCAGTAGGAATGAAATGATTGCTGTTTATTACCACTCTGGTTATACTATTCAGGATATCATTGAATTTCTTGCGAGCAAACATAACATTGCTCTTAGTGCAAGACAAATTCATCGAGTTTTAAGGGAAATGAATCTGACGAGACGAAACAACCAGCCACGTTTGGAGGACATTGTAACGGCTATTCTACATGAACTTTCAGGCTCGGGCGGTGACATAGGCTATACAGGAATGAGGAGACGTCTGCTAATCGACCATAACCTCAATGTGTCTTGTGAATTGGTGCGCCTTGCATTAACTGTTTTGGACGCAGAAGGTGTAATAAGGCGTAGACAACGTCGTCTTCAGCGTAGAAGGTACATTAACGAAGGGCCTAATTTTTGTGTTCATCTAGATGGCTGGGACAAGTTAAAACCATTCGGAATTTCCATTCATGGCTGTGTAGATGGCTTTTCAAGACGTATTCTCTGGCTCAGAGCTTGCAATTCTAACAAAAACCTTGAGTATATATCCAGATTTTATATAGATTATATCAAAGAAATAAACGGGATTCCTGTAGTCGTATACGCAGACAGGGGTACTGAGAACTCCATAGTTCGAGATTTGCAATACGCTTTGCGATGGAATCACCAGGATCCCTTGCAAGGACTGTCAAGTTTTAGGTATGGATCGTCATATAGAAATACAAGAATAGAGCGATTTTGGCGGTGTTTACGAGAAATGTGTGGCAACTTTTGGATAAATTACTTTAAGGATATGGATAATTTAGGTGTTTTTGACACCTCCGACATAGTCCACCTGGAGTGTGCTAGGTATTGTTTCTTACCAATTATCACCAGAGAATTGAACAGAGTTATACAGCATTGGAATGAACACACAATTAGAAGAAACCACAATGCAGATTGTCCGTCTGGAAAACCAGATGTTATGTATTTTCATCCCGAAATTTACCAAACAAGAGATTTCAAAATGCCTCTACCTGATAATCTGAATGGCATAGAACAAGAATATTGTGCCTACCCTCCTGCGAATGGTGTTTCAATGGAATTTGAAGTTATTGGTACTCAAATAAGAATGGAAAACGGTTTGAATTACCCACCAAACACAGTAGAAGAAGCAACAGAACTCTTTATCCGAATAACAGACTATGTAGATCGCTTATAAATTACATGTATCTACATACATTTACTTGACTCTTGTTGTTTTAAGGAGGTACATTTTTCTTTATGTTCCGAATATTGTTTGATGAAGGAATGAGAAATTGTATCTTTGCGAGGTTTTGTGTATTTAATTGCAAATGTGTATTTCTAGTAAAGTATATCTATTAGTAGTACATAATATTAGTAATTCTTTTTTTGAAATCTGCTTTAACCGTCAAGGTCAAAAATCATAATGAATTCAAAAAATTGTTATGAGTACTGTTGAGTGTTGAAGTAAGAGTACAAAAGCGTATTTTCCTATGGAATAAAGAATGCATTTGGTCAGCATTTTTTTTTTTTAGATAACTAGGTCAAACTTTTAATTCACAGTAAAAAATTAAAAAGAATTGTTCCTTTTTAATGAAGCTGTCATAAATAATGCACCTGTAAATAATAAAAGCTCTAGATCTATTCTCCCTCATTCAGAACATACCTACTTGACATTAAAAAGGACACTGTTACGATTTTGGTCACATTTTATATTACCATTTTTATTGTTTAAAATATTAAATTAGTTAACTGCACTTCATACCTTTTATTCTTAAACTGTTTCATGTAGAACTTCACTGAATTCATGAATCATTGAGATGTCTACCATCACATAGGGCCCCACTCAAATAATGGACAATAGGATGAAAAGCATTTCAGAGAATTTTGCTTTGACCTTGACCTATAACTTAGAAATTGTCCAGTTGGCATAAAACTTTTATTTCAGTCTCATTACCCCTTACCAAAAGCCATTTATTTTTGGTTCTGAACAAGATTAAGCAAGTGAAAAATATTATTCAAGGTCACTGCACATCCTTTGACCACAGACACTCTGTGGAAGTATGAACCAGACTGGACCAAGGGGAGAAAAGATGTGCTCCGGACAAAGATTTTCCATATACAATTCTGCAATGACCTTAACCTTAGACCTTGAAACATAGTTTATAGTTCAAGGTCAATGCACACCCTTTAAAAGAGATCTCGGACGGACAGATGGACGGATGGACACACTAATTCCTATAGGGCGCCGCAGAGAGGGGCCCTTAAAACGTTTTATTGTCTATGGTCACGTTTCTGAATCGCCAGGACATTTTATCAAAGGAAATGCAATTTATACTTTGTTGTCCACCTCATATTATAGAAAATAATTTAAACTGCAATATCTGGTTGAATAAATTTTCGATCATTAAGTACAGGTCCACGTAACAATCAGGCAGCCTATATATAAAAGGTGATACATGGGGGTTCTCAGAAATCAATGATTTTTCACCCACAGTTTTTCCTTGGGCTATAAGCCATGTTTGTGGAAGAAAAAATATTTTGGGTCATTGTTACTATGGAAACCTGGACAAAGAAATTTCCCTAGCAACCGGCCAATTTTTCTTTGTAGATTGACGAATTTTCACTCATTTTGAAGGCTTTATACAAAATGTAAATATAGTAATTTTTTTTCTTATCTAGTGTAATAAGAAAGATACATTTTTAAAGTGTTCTTTCAATGTAATAAAAAGAAATAACATTCTCTAATATATTTGCCATAGATACAGGTAAAGATGCATGTTTCCCATTTTTTGCTGATTCAGCATTTTGGTTGATTTTAGCAAAAATCACGTCAATATTATTCATTTCACCATCTTAATACAATTGTTTAATCTATTTCATGTAAAACCACAGGAAATTCTCTCTAAGAATTTGAAATAAAAAGTTTTGCAAATTTGAAAATTCCTATCTGTTGCTAAGCAACAAAACTGGATGGTTTGATTAATTAAAACATGGGAAAATGTAAAAGATTTGGAAGAAAAATCGTATAAATTGTAATCATTGAGTACCAAAAACAAATTGAAAAAAAATAAAATATACAGTATTTTTCCTTGTATACTAAAGACTATTTTAGAATAAGCTGTCTCCATAGCAACAGAAAATTTTCCTTAGCAACGAAGCATTGAAAGCCATTTTTAGCACATATTCATATTCATGTTTTTTGAAGATCATCTGATTCTTATAGTTGAATTGCTAATGCCAGAATTGACATTGTCAAATTGTTTTTTTTTTCAAAAGTATTTTTGAGTTAATTCTCCATAGCAACAGAACTTGTCCACATAGCAACAAATGTATTTTATAAAGAATCAGTATGTAGCAATTCCTCAACAAAAATCTGTGTCTTTACGGGTTGTTTACAAGGCAAAAACGTTCTACTTATGTGAATGAAAAATTACTTATTTTACTTATGACTCAGGTATTTTTTTCACTTTCAAATGGTAAATCAATGACCTACTTTTCATGCTAGTGGCTTATTGAGACTCGAGAGTCTTAAAATTTCTTGCAAATTCCTGAAAAGTTTGCATCATCAAATATTTGTAACGAAAACTGGATAGTCTAACTTCTCACAAGGTTTTAAAAAAACAGTAATCTCGAAAAAAATTATTGACTTTTGATGAGGTCTACATGTACTTGTGACAATGCAGACCTTTCGAGGTATTGGTTGACCGAAGCCGAAGGCTGAGTTTAATCTGTTCCTGACAAAGTCTGTATAGTAACAAGTAGGCCGAATTCAAAAGTCAATAACTGTATTTTAAATTATCAGGAATTTTTACATTTTTCACAGTCCACCTATTTTCTCCATCAAATATATATATTAATACCCATAATATACTTAGTATTTTGTTTTGTAGCAAGATATTATAATTATTTTTCAGCAATTTAAACTGTTTAACAAAGGTAGAAGATAATATATTAAAACAATAAATATTCAAACCATTTAATAATAAGGAGTTTGGACGGTTCGGTACTGGAGTCTGTGCGCGATTTGACTGGCTGATAAAAATGTAAGCCAAGCTATCAAGATTGGCTAAGACAGAAAACCCCCCAAAAAACAAACTCTTTGTAGCGAGACTACTGTCTCCTGAATAACAGGATTAAAAAAAACTTATTTTGATGAGATAACTACATATGTTATGTTATAATGAGATACTAACTCGTGAACAAGATAGCTAATTAATTATTATAAAAAGATGACTAATTTGTTGAAACGTTTTAGCAAGATAACTCGTTGTAACGAGACTACTAACTCCTGGAGAATGAGATTAAAAAAATAATATAATATGATACTAACTCGTTATAAAAACAAGAAATGAAATTCCTTTTATTGGGGTAACTAATTCATTATTTAAGGAATGAATTTAATAGCTACTCCAGTTATACTGTACGGTTAACCTGGGTTGGGACAGTTTCCGCTTTATAAACCGCGAAGCGATTAATAAAAAGCGTTAAACTGTTCCAACCCAGGTTATACCAGTATACATGTAACTTGGGAAGCTATTAATTAAATTCATTTCTTATAATTTAATTTTCCATCATTAAGACAATAAGGCAGTTTTCCTTTTAAAATGCCTTCAAATTAAGCATATTTTAAAAGTAACTTAAAGCCAAATAATACGTTTTTGGTGTATGTCATTGTGACGTAAGCAACATATGTTATTTGGTTTTACACTAAATCTTTTATTCTATCAAATTACGTGTTACAACCAGAATTAAATTATTACGAGATAACTAACTCTCGATTTTTATTATTAACTAGTCTAGTTATGAAGGGATATTTACATGTAAGGACTGAAAAATCATTTTTGATATAAAGAGCTTAATGAAAAAATTAAAGAAATATACTGAAAATAGTGATAGTGTTGTTTCATGAAATAAACAATTAAAGTTTGTGCTTTAACTTTAATCTAAGCTTCTTCTTTTTTATATATATCTCCCAGTTGGTTCGATACGCAAGAGACGCTTCAGGTACGAACGATTTCTAAAAAGAGGCAAGCTACTGACAAACAAGTTCATGAAATAAGAATATCAACAGTCTTGTTTAAATTCATCATTTGGCAAGTTCTATGGTCGATACAATGACCTTGTCAGCAAATGCAATCTATCTTTGAATTTAATGCTGACTAATGCCATTTATGGTAATTTTTTATTGATTATATCCTTTATATTCCTTTTGTATAACTATGATCCCCTGTTATGGCGCCTCTGTTCTCCTGGGTGGTCATGATTTGAAAACATTTAAAACTACATTGCTTTTATATTATTATAACCAATCATGGCTTTGTTGTTCTTGTGAAAAATTTAAAAGATCTCCCCTTTGTCTTCATATATCAAAGTTTGATCGCCCATTGTGGCCCCACCCTATCCCCGGGGGTCATGACTTGAATAAACTTGAATTTACACTACATGAGGATGCTTCCACATAAATATAACCAATCAAGGCTTTGCAGTTCTTGAGAAAAAGATTTTTCTTATGTATTCCTACAATGTATGTAAAAATTTGATCACCCGTTGTGGCCCTACCCTACCCCCAGGGTCATGATTTGAACAAACTTGAATCTACACTACCTGAGGATGCTTTCACATAAATTTAAAAAAAAATCATAAAAATATTCCCCTGGAAGAAGGCGTGTCCATTCATTCAAACAAACTTGAATTCACTTTACCCAAAAGATACTTTTGGCTAGGTTGGTTGAAATTGGCCCAGTGGTTCTTGAGAAGAAGACGAAAATGTGAAAAGTTTACGACAACGACGACAATGACAACAACGACAGACAACGGACAATTTCGATCAGATAAGCTTACTTGAGCCTTTGCTCAGATTAGCTTAAAATCCTTAGCATGACAAACTTCAAATTGGTTCCTCCCAGAAAAAGGATGATCATTGTTGTTTTGAGGTCACAACATCAAAAGTCGTGGGCAAAAGAAAAATAATCCAGACAAGATTTTTTTTTACTTTTCAGCCAATGATCTTGAACTTGTAGGAGTGTTTGTTTGTATGTTGTTTAACGTCCCTCTCGAGAATTTTTCACTCATATGGAGACGCCACCACTTGCCGGTGGAGAGCTGCAAATTTTGTCCTATACTCGGCAGTTACGGCCATTAAGCAGTGAGGGATCATTTTCGTGCCAGCACCTACTGCGACACAGGACCTCGGTTTATACGGTCTCAACCGAAGGACCGGTCTCCACGTCCCACAGTGGGATTCCAACCCGCGACGTAAGGA